GCATGAGCCAGAGGAGGATATCTAAACAGGTAAGAGTTCTTCAGCCAGAGTGGCTAGGTAGGTAGATGATCTTGAGACTTAATCCTGACGATTGGATCCTTGATTGAAATCTTGGCAGGGAGGATTTGCTGCAGTGGCGTCTGCAGAAAATTTTTTCAGGGGGGGCCATGGGGGGAGGGGCACTGAAAAACCAGGGGTGGCACACCAAAACTAATATTTATGACAAAAAATTCATGATGTGTCTGTAAAATGACAAATTGAAAACTACGGCAATATAAATCTATGGATTTGCCAACAGATGTTCAATTTGTAATTTCACAGATAATTTCACTGATTTTATGACATTCAGAGACAAAAACAAGAGTAAGTATTTGTAATGTTGGGGGGACCCACTGGGGGGTTAAAATTTTTAAAGAGGTAAATGCCATTTCCTGCATCCTGGTGTATTTTAGCAGGTTGTTAAACAGATTTTTACCTACACAGGAAAACATTTAATGTGAGTAATCTATAGGTAAAATGAAATAATTTTATTTAAGCAAGAGAAACAACACTGGGTGAACTAATGTTTTATGGTAAATGTGGGGGTTTAAATGAATTAAGTTTTAAATTTGATGGGGACAGTTCCCTTCAGAAATGATTGTCATTTTACTTAAAAATGTCAAAATATATAGTTAAAGACATTTACAAGGAACGTGCTTTTTAAAATTTAAAGGCATCACCTATTCTATGTGTGTTAAAATTTTTATTTGCTTGTTGATGTTTACTTTTGTGAAGAAAACCTGTGATTATAAAACCCCAAAAATGGAAATAAAGACTAAAACAAGCACAATTACAAACTACATCCAACTACTTCCTCTGATCCAGGTGTTARTTTATGATCAACATAAATTTGAGAAAATTGTTTTTAATTTTAGTGAAACTGTTCAGAAGGACGAAAGCGTTCCTGAAAATGGTTTTAGTCACATTAGAGCTCTTTGTGTTTGAGTTTTTCGTTGTTTCTGTGAAAGTGTTTCTGCAGCTCTGAGGTCACAAACGATTCCAGGCAGGAGCTCCTCAAGTGTTCGTCAGTGCAGATAATTAGAGCTGAACCGAGTCAGCTGACCTTGAGGAGCGCTGCTCTGGAGTCGTCTCTGTCTAAAGAGTGTGTGCGTTTGTGTGTGTGTGTGTGTGTGTGTGTGTGTGTGTGTGTGTGTGTGTGTTTTGGAGGAGGGGAGTTACTGACGCAATCAGACAGAGAACATTGGCACCTTGGATTAAACAAAGTGTTTGTACTGCTGTGTGAATTATCTCAGACGAGAYGCGCTGTTTGAATGATATCAGGCTGAAAAATCACATCTGTCCATTCAGATTTGACAGAAAAACCAAAGCGTATACCGTCATCGCTTTATTTTCTGCAGTTTTAGGGCCTCATTTGAACCAAAGACCTGTAAACATTAAAAAGAAGTTTGGTCTGTTTCAAGGTTTCTGTGGATTTGATTTCTGCTGCATCCTTCAACTGCTTTTCTGCAAGTTCCACTTTTTTTTTTTTGGCCGTTTATTAAATCGTGCCTGTTTCAGTCGTAAATGCAGTTTTAAATCTGTTCATTTGTATCTGTTTATTAGCCCGTCACCGGCCCTGTTTCTGGCGTTTAAGCTGGTCTTGTTTTACGCAGATGTCGGCCTTGAGCCAAACCACGTTCATCCATCTCGGGTTCTGTTTCCACGGTGAGTTCTGGTTCCGTGCAGCGGTGCGTATTTTTAGACGTGCGCTCTGATTGTCTTTGTTGAGCAGGATTCTTGCCTCAAACGGAGTGATGTTAATTAAAATGTGCAAAGCTAAAAGATGTCCCCGTAATCAACATGTCTTCGCCCGAGGATGTTGGAGTCTCGGTTTTTGTTATTTACATTTGTAAAGCTCCTCTGTGCTGCGTTATTTGCCTAATTATCAGTTTTATTTTGATGGACGTTTTTTTTTTTGTTTGTTTCCTGGGTGTTGAATCTTGTTTTACTCCCTTGTGAGGGGCGATATGCACTTTGCATCTGTAATTGTCTTTATTTTTGGCTTTTTGGTTTTTACGTTTGGAGCCTTTAATTTGGCCACAACTTCTTATGACACATAAAACCAAAAATCGTTTATTTGCGTCATGCTCCTAAGACTGATTCTGTCTTAGTTAGGCCCCCAGTCATCGACCTCCTCCTCTGGAGCAACGGAAAGGTTTTCACAATATTTTTTTTTCTCAGAGGAAACTGGACTCTCACAGACATGAAAAGAGACTTTGATGTGGAGAAAAAAAAATAGTCCTCAGATGGAAACACGTTTTAAAGGAATCTACGGAGGAAAGTACACTGATATAAAGAACTTGTAAGATTTACTTGAAAAAAATCCTCACAACAATTTGCACTAATGT